ATTATTATTATTATTATTATTATTATTATTATTATTATTATTATTATTATTATTATTATTATTATTATTATTATTATTATTATTATTATTATTATTATTATTATTATTATTATTATATTAATAAAAATCCAAAAATATATTTTATTTATTTACATATTTAAAAAGGTTCATTAATATTTTATTTTTCTTCATAAAACAAAAGATCAAAATATTTTATTTTAACAAATTAATTTCTTTTTTAAATAATTAATGTCTAAACTTAGGTTAATTATTACATTATTTCTTGTAAATTAAAATTAATTTAGAACTTAGGTTTCTTTTTAATTAATCAATTCTCATGTTATTTTCATTATTTAAAACCTTTTCCTAAAAAACCCTAAAAAATAATTTTTAAATTAATTTATTTTCTTAATTAGTTTAAGTTCATTTTAGTTAATTTTTTATTAATTATTTTCTTAATTAGGGATAGGTTAAAATCATTTCATAAAAATCCAAACAAAAATCATTTCTTTTTCCATTTTGCATTCTTGCATTTTATCTTCAATTTTGTACATTTATTCAATATGGTTGTAATAGTTAATTAGGTTTAATTTTCTTGCAAATTCCCCATTTGTAAATTTTTATATCCCCTCCCCTAATCATGTAATAGCTTAATATTTTTATTTTCCGCAATTTAACGCTTTATATAAATGCTAGTAAATTAGGGTTTGTATGGAAAGATAAAATCAACAAGTTAGCAAACCATAATTCAAGACAAAACAATGCATGTAAATCAACACATTTGCATACTTGCATCCCTTAGGGTAATTCCACTTTGTTGTCTTACTAAAATGGTCATGTTATGCATGTGGGATATCTTAGCAAAAAGCAATCAAAAAATACAAGATCATAGTCCCTCGATGACGCTATCAAATATTGCCTTTCAAAATGATCTTAGTCCCTCAAAGAGAATTGCTAAGATATTTCACAATATTGCTATCATGGCTATACGATGACCCACGCCTGTCCCTTTACATCCAAAGATAGGGTTTCTTACCAAATCAATGGTAAGATAGAAATATCAAAGGAAAGGAAGAAATGAACTATGACTTTTGAGTAGGTAGATTGTTCCTAGTTGCTTGCTCAATTTCAAATCAAACACTCTTGCTTATCTTCAAAACAAACACCAACACTTTCAAAAACACTTTCAAAACATCTTCCAAACTTGAAACATTTTCAAAAGCTCAACACTTTGTATACGTTCTTACGAACGAGAACTATTACAAAGTTTGCCTAAACGATGACGCCTTTTCAAAATACTTTCAAAAACCATACAAAGCATATTTTCAAACAAAAGCAACTAATCTAGCAAGAAACTAAGATCCCATAGATAATTATGGATGAAAGGGGTGCTAATACCTTCCCTTTTCATAATCTACCCCCCGAACTCAAAAAATAATCTCAAAGGTCTTTCCTGTTCTTTTCATCCTTTTCTCTTGGATAAAAGAAAAGTCAATGGCGACTCTTGCTAACCGCAACATTTACGATAAAACGCAAAACACCCAAGTCAGTTCTCCCACCGTATCACAATGGGAAATGATGGAAAAAGGATCTAGTTCTTCCCAATTTGTTGAAGCTGGGATCACTTCAAATAAGTATCATGTTCCTCCCATATACAAAGGGGAAAATCCTATGACAAAGACTCAGCGGAGAAGGTTTTAGAGAAACAAGAAAGCTGCAAGAGAAGCGGCAATAAAAGTTGTCCATCAAAGGGTGAGAGCATCCTGAAGGGAGTGCACCGTCGACCAGCAAAAGAGAGGTTATTTATGCCGGTTGTGTAAGCGTCGCCAGCAAAAGTCAAAATTCCTGATGATGACAACATGGATGATGAACTATCTGATGACTTTAAAGATAGTTTAGATGATGGTTTGATTATACATTGTAATATTGTGTTGGTCCTTCCTAGTGAGTATGATTTCACATCAGAGGCATCTGGATACGAAGAGGAAACTATGTGCGAAGAATCAGCAGGCCAGAAACCCATACGCTAATATGTCATGAGTAACAGGGTGGTCGAAGAACAACATGCGATGTTTGAGAAGCCTACATCTGATATTATGTACCATCTCAAGCATTTGTTTATAAGGGCTAAAGTTGATGGGTTCCTTGTGAACAAAGTGTTTGTTGATGGTGGCGCTGCTGTGAACTTGATACCACAATCATTACTAAAAAGGATTGGTAAGTTCGACAGTAACCTTAAACGACATAACATGGTTTTGTCGAACTACGAGGGGGAAAAAGTCACATACTAGGTGTGATTCAAGTAAGTTTGTCAGTTGGTTCGACTTTAAGGCCAACATTATTTATGGTGATTGCATCTAAAGCAAACTATCATTTGTTGCTAGAACGTGAGTGGATATACGGCATTGGGGTAGTACCATCGACTCTGCATCAGCGCTTATCCATATGGCGCCAAGATGGGGGATTATGGAGAACATTGAGGCATATCATTGTTACTTTACTGCTGATGTGGGTATGATCAACAGGAAGAATTTTTACAAAGCCTTAGCTACCATACCTTCGTGTGACCCTGAAGATGTAGTGCTCAAGTCATATCCTGATGCGATCAAGTTTCTAACCCTACACCCTACTCATAGTTTCATTTGGGACCAAGAAAAGTTGGATACATATCCAACTACAAAAGGGGAGTTTGAACCCACAGGGTGGGAAGAACAAACTCATACTGATGCCTGAGTCAAATGCTTTGAAGATTTTTTATTATAGAAAGTCGACCACATAAGTTGTCGACCGAAAGAGGTTTCATAAAAAGTCAATTTGTGCTTGTAGACGCGGTCGACCAGAAGAGATGCCTCATGAAGAATGGATTGAGCCTAAGAGTGTTAAAAAGCCCAAAAGAGGGAATAACTAGCAAAGGAAAGCCTTGTGAATAGATAACATGGGTTCGGTAGCAAGAATGGAGAACGTGGGTTCATAAAGGGAAGTTACAAGGGACACATGGCTCATAAGGAAGCGAAGCCCGCCAAAAAATAGTTATTTTCATGTATTATAAATAAAGCACTTAGTGCATAGCATAAGAGGTTCAAACTTTCACATTCATACACGCTAGTCACTCAGAGTACCCAAGCGAACGAGCCAAATGAGTCAAGCACGGGCGATGTATGTTTGAATCAACTCATTTTCAATTATTTTGATGTTATGTCATTTATTTTTACAGTTTAAAACGTCTTTGTTTTATTTTACGATTCCTGCTTTATTACTTTTAGGTCCGCTTCGCCTTAGTCAAACGAACCCTTTTGAACACACTTTGTAAAAATACTCGAAAACTGAAGCATTGTACTAAGATTCCTTAATCGATCTCGCCAATAAACTTTCTGTTAAGAGACCAACGTTGTTTACCAAAATCAGAAGTAAACAAATGCATATAAAATGAATACATAAGTGCATCCACGGGCTAATTTCTCACTCAAAAAAAAACAAGATATATGACTCATTTACACGTGTATTTGGTGTGAAATGAGTGCGTCTAAAAATGCACTTATACATTCGTATGAGCATTTTTTACTTTCCATAGGATACTTCTCCACCATTTAGGGTGGGAAAGTAATACCCCTAGTATTTTTGCATTGCCTATAATGCACCAAAAGTTGGTATAGTCTATATTACACCAACAATTTGTATGGCTTAGAATACCTTAGAACTTGTTTAATTAGTGTCTTTTGTTCGTTATGTTCATCATTTACAAAAATTTCTATCAAAAGAAATTATAATGTAGTAGCTTACTACAGTGGTTGCAAGCCAAATTCTAGTATTAAGATACTATCACAGTTTCTGATTTGAAGAGGAAGTTTTTTTTTTTTGTGAAGAGGAAGTTGAAAGATCTCAAATTTTGTGATATTAGAAGAGTGGTACATATTGAGAATCAGACTCATCCATCAATCGGTCCATGTGGTCGTGGTCGTGCTCGGTGCAATAATATTAAACTTTAAAATGAAACCAATGTGAGAAGAATGATAATCTCTATATTAATTCGATATGAAACTAAATATTTGTTCGACTTATAGGCTATCATGCCTAGATCTGTGCTTGTTATTGAGGCAAGTTTAATTCGTACCATATTCTTCGAAAAAATAATAGCCAGCATGATTGAAACGTATGAAGAAATCATATCACCTAATAAAAGTGTTACACTAGTTTAACACATCCATGACCAGACTGTGTGAGCCATCGCAATTCAACCTACTTAGACTTGACTTTGACTATGCGATACAAGAAAACATGAATGGATTTGTCGAGACTTTCCGTTTGAGCAACACACTTTTGTAGGAGACACATCACTTGTCCACCTAAAACTTTGAGGTGATAGGTGAGTGGGTTCTCCCACTTATAAATTCTCAAGTCACCATATTCTTATCCAATGTAGGACTATTTCCCCACATTACTCACACTTGTATTATTCTCAATAAATTAAAACATGTTATGTTTAATAGATGACTAATAAATATAATAGTGCCACAAGTTATTAATGATTCACTAAACTCAATTAACCATGACTTAAAACACCATTAATCATGATTTTTGGATGTTCAAATATACATGACAGTAATTATAATCATCCAAATTGTTCCCCTCATTAATTAAACAAATAGTACGGGCGGTGAATTGTGTCGACTTGAAACACCCGTTCATAAATACCCCTTATTTTAAGTCGTACGAGGAAATGAAAACAAGTTTACCAAGTAAAAAGAGTAATACCACAATAAACACTACTGGGAAAGCAGGCTTCCATTAGTTAATACTTGTGACATTGAAACAGCAAACAATAACATAACTATGGCAGCCTAACCTGTACTGAGACTTATAACAGGTGTTTTTGGTTGTTCAACAACAATTTGAACAATGCTTCTAATGTTTTGCATCTATGCTATTAACATTTCCATCCGAAGTCATCAACCACATAAGTGGAAGTGGAACTACTAAATTTCTTTAACTATTCTATGCAGTTAGCTTACTTGATTTCTTCTTGCACTGTTGGATTTTGAGTCATTTCGAACCGGCTTTGCTGAGAAGGAATGGCGGACATGGATCTTCTGACTGCAACTTTGGACTGTGGAACTGCCTTGAACACGAACAACCAAAATTACTTCCTTATCTCTGGTGTCTTCACTCCACCAGTTCTGTGGTACCCCGTCTACTACATCTTCAGTGGCATTCATATCTTCATGACGTACTGAAATCTCTACGGTTTGCTCAGGTTTAATTATACCCACGGATGGAGAGACCTAATTGAAGACATTTTAAAATAGGCATCAGTGTAGGAAAAATCCTGGAAATTTAGCTAAGTCGATGAATCGTAAAAGCCAACTCCATTCACTCAATAAGAAAAGTCCCTTTATCTGTGCTCCTCCTTCCTACTGTGAACAGACATATCATATTTGCAAGTCGAGAAGAAAAATGGCTACTTACAGATGAATTTTGATATATAGTTACTTACCTATGAATTCATGATATATGTCAAAGAACTAGGCATATTTCGAGCCAAAAACAAGTAAACTTAATTTCAACAATCATGAACAAGGATCTATAATTTAAAAAACTATTTTATCTTGAAAGTTGCATTTAAATACAAATGTCGAATTAATCTCAAACAAATAAATGATCCATCCTATCTGCAGGTAGGTAGGTGATGCAGACAAACTTTGTTATGTGCTCAATAAGATCTGGTTAACAAACTAATAGAATCTGCCGGTTGTCTGTAATACTCTCTTAGCAATTGAACTTAAAAAACACAGAATGTAGAGTAAAAATTTACATCAGAAAAATGGATAAAGACTATTATATTGTAAAATAAATAGGAAAGGAAAGTTAGTGACTTTGGCAGCAACATAAAGCAAAATTAATTAGTTTTTCTGTTATAAGGCCGTTCGGAAGGGGCATGGGACAACATGGAGCTCTTGGGTTGTAATCATGCATTATGTGATAGGAATTCAATGCAGTAAGATAAACCACAAACTTGCACATGCAGTAAGATTTGCATCTAACTAATAATTCTTGCTAGCTCTCAAAATTCAAAGCTAGCATGAGTGTTTAAGTAAAGGTAAAGTACCTCAAGCCATCTAGGAAAGCCAAAGGCACCTCTTGGGTTGTAATCAGGTGCTTCTCCATCACTCTTGACTATAGACTGGCCCTCACAAATAATCTTGTATACAGCCTTATCCTTTGTACTTCTGTTTGTAATAAGCAAAAATGAAGCCTCCATGTTTTCAAGAACTAAATTGTCTGGGCTGACGTTGCATTCTGGAACATAACGTGATTCTTCAAGCATAGATCTGATTTTCTCATTTGATGTCATAATTTCCCCAAATTCTTTTCTCCTAATTGATCTATCGGCATGAGAAATTCTCACATTGAATTTACATCGAACAGGTTTGTGATCGCTATCAGTCACATCCATGCAAGCATCATACCTGTTAAATGGTTTCAAAGATAATAAAATGTACCTAATAGGAAAATCGACAAATAGAAACCTACTTTAACCATGCAACATACTGTAAAATTGATGACACAACAGGGCAGTTTAAATTGCACTCGGAAACTGAAGCTGGCCGAGTATCACGATATATTATTCTGTCACACCAAGCAGGAATTCGCTTTTTCTCCCCAGAATCATACCCTGAAAGAATGTACAGAAGTTACACTATTGTAATGTTTCTTACGCACAAAACTAGTCCCTGTAACCTAGAAACAGTCTGTTATATCCATATTGATAGAAGACAATTGAAACTGCCATGTTCATTGAGTTGTGAATTTTAATAGGAACCAAATTGAAATCAAAGTGTAACAAATGGGCACCAGTAGTGGTTGACAGTGAGATCTATATTTACCTCCTAAACCTGGTAGGTGTCTCTCAAACTTATACGTTGGAGGAAATTTGATTATTGCCTCCCGCATTCCCTGGAAAACTTTTCCGGATTTCATCTCCGCCCTGAGCTGGTCCTTTTCTCTAAGCCAATCAAAGCATCTTTGAGAAACAAAGTCCCTAGCTTCATCATATGATATACCAAAAAGCCGGTAGTTGAAATCACCAAAAAATACCACCATATCTGCATCAGATAACTCAGGTTTTGCTTCTTCGGAGCTGACACCCATAGCCTATGATACAATGAAGACCATGTAACTGTTTGGTAATATTAATGGAGAGGCAAGGAGATAGTCAAAATCTGTTAGCAACTAAGGATGTACTCACATTTGTACCGCGAAGCATATGAGCCGAAGTAGAGACACCAGCTGCAACAGACAGGACCAATGGCAAGCCACAAGAGTAAAGTAGCCAAAATAAATATGTGGAGAAGGCAAGAGAGCAATACAAGAACAGGTATGGTACCATACCAGCTGCAGTATTAAGTAGAGTGGATGATCGGCTGAAGACCATATTCCGATAAATGTGATCAAAATCAGCATTTCGCCGATTAACAGCTTCCAAATGTGCAGCCAAGTGACAATTCACAAAGCACATTATCCTATCGTAGACTCTGATTCTCAAACCCACTCCTCCCTGCTTGATCAAATTTTGCCATGTAAGTGTTCATTTCAATGAAGAGGGAAAAATTCAGGAGTTAAACTTAAAGAAGTTTTCCAATGTTTTTTTTTTTTTTTTGTATTTCCATCCATCTCAAACTAGAGTTTGAATAAACAACATCAATATGACTATTACTATATCAATAAAGTAGGTTAAATTTAGCCTCAAAAGGGAAGGGAAAAAACCAAATTATACTTGCATAGAAACAAATAATTTTTTAAAGCACTAGAAAGGGGGTAATTAATCATATTGCAATAACAATGATTTTAGAAAAACGGCTCAAGCGTTCCATCCAGCATTGTGCAATAAACAGAAAAGGCAGTCTGTGTTTGTCATTGTTATTAAAATTGAATCAGATCTTCCAATTGAATCATGGACCGTTTAGTCCAAAATAAACTAGCTGATTTTCTAACAGTGAGAACTGGTTGAACCAGTACAAAATCAGAACAAAACTAGCTGAAAAGTGGTGGTGAAGAACCAATTCAGACTGATCAGTTTCTATTTTTAATTTTTTCTATCTTTATTTAGGTAAAATTATTTTTAAGCCGGAAAAAAACTACAATGCCAAATTACAAAGATCCATGTATGCGAACAATTATTATTATTATTATTATTATTATTATTATTATTATTATTATTATTATTATTATTATTATTTATACAACTATAATTGTTTTTTATTTTACAGGACATAAATACAATTATTCTACGTTAATTTAATTTGAGTTGACTTACTTTCTTTACATTCTGTATTTAATTTATTATTTAATCTACTGTATAATTTATATATATACTAGAATATTACCAGTTGAATTATTGAACCAATGAACCGTGAACTGATGTCTTCATTGGTTCGATAAAACTGGTACAATTTTTAACAGCGGTGTTCATTAGTCATTTCTTCCATGGTTGTTCTTTTCATATGTACTATCCATTCTCATCATGCTTTCTTAGTGTTAAAATTGTAATTGAGCGTCCCTGGCTTTCTTTTTAATTTTTTGTTTTATATGCGGACAGAGTAGTATGATCGGTAAGATATATGCATGACCATTAATCACCCCTAAACAGCAGTCTAAAAATTGAAATATCTGATACCTTAACCATGATCAAGAATGGAGAAATCGGACTGGACTAATTGGATGAATTTACAACTGGTTTTAACGTAAACAGATAAGTAGAAAATATGCATTGCATAGAATCAAGATAAAATATGTTACTAGTACTACAGAAAGAGTTTTGAACCACGTGATCCCTGCCCCTTGAGCTTCATTGGAACAAGGGGCTGGAGTGATGACAGCTGAGAAATTTTAATAGACCAGTACTGGATTTCAATGACAGAACTACAGTACTATGTTACTATCAAACTAATATCAAGTAGTCAGGGAAATTGAAACAAACCTTGTTACCGATTGCACGTCCAAAACCACATGGAACTGCTCCAGCATCAATGTCCCCAACATGTTTTCTAAGATTCTTTCTTACCCTAATTGAAGAATATCAACTCATAATATAAGCATGGAAACATTATCAAAGATACAAATCCAGAGTACATTATAGGGAGAACTAAGAAGCCTTTCCATAAAGAAGAAAATAGAAGCAGGAGGTTTATCACACTAGTTGGTTTACACTCACTCACCAAAGAGATATAAGCAAGCCAGCAAGCTGCCTAGAACCCATACGCTCAAAAGCTTTTCCTTCTTCCAAGGCCTTTCCTATTGTATCCAGCCACCACTGCCCCATTGCACTTCCTTCTAGACCTACCTACAATTGTGATATAGGTAGTAAATGCATGGATAGAATATACATATTACACAAGATTGTTCCTGAGATTTACACAGTTTTCAATTATCATATACACGTGATTTTGAACTTCTTTTTAAAAAAAGAAAAAAGAGAAGAAAGTAACAGGGAAAAAAATGTTATTGGCTACAGCTGCAACCACTCAGACAGTAGCAGTAAACAGTGATATCTTTCATGAAAATGTTAAGATAAACAAACATATTACTAGACTAAGTTCCTTGTGATTTTGATTTTCTTTTTTGAAAAACAAAAAAGAAAGGAACAGAGAGGGAAAAACTCTATTAGCTACAGCTGCAACCACTAGAACATTAGCAGTATACAGTACTATCTTTAAAGGCAATGTTTACGATAAACAAACATATTACTAGATCAAGTTTCTTATAATTTCAACTTCGACAAAACTGTTTTCACAATCCAAATCTACAAACATAATATGGTAAGGTTATAAGGTATACACACAACTCAACAAGGGAAAATATACAGCACTCTAAATTTAACCCCATCTTAAAATAGTCAGGATAAATATTTTAAACAGGGTGAGAGACTGAGAGGCCCCTAAACTTTTGGAAACCTGCCAACAGAATGTTTTGTCCACCAACTGAACATAAGCATTCATCAGATGATCTGCACGTGTTCATAAATAAACATGGCGATCTTTCACTTATCTAAATAATTTTAAAATAGTAAGAGATATGGAGAGATTATGAAAAACTATAGATAAAACCATCAAGATAGATATAGAGGTAAATACTCTATATGTAAACTTAATACATGAAATAGTATTACTCCATCTCATATCAAGTGTCATTTAAGGTCATGCACGCTTCTTAAGGAAATCATTAAATGTTCTAATTGCAATGATAAAAATGAGTTTCATTTACTACTGTAGCATTATTTATGGTAGTTAGTGAAGTAGTTTGGTGAGTTAAGCTATAAAAAATCAGAGTATATTGGTGGAAAAAGGTAATAATGCTTCATTGGTATATTAAAATGACAAATAATGAGACAACCAAATATTGCTAATGGGACACTTAATATGAGACAAAGGGACTATAAATAACGTTAGACCTATCTCAAATTCTAAGCCTACTTTTTCTCATTATTTATTTAATATTAAGTTGTCAGCTAAATAATCAATCTAACTAGCTCCTATTTATTCTACCCTTCTACTGCATATTTGAGAATGTGAATAAAGTCTTACAGTTTCTTTTGCCGCGGACATTGCAAGAAAACCAGCACCCATCTCCACTTCTTGCAAACCAACAACAACAATACCAACATCCGATACAACAGACCCCAACCATGACAAAAGTGACTCTTGAGAAGCTCTACCTTGACCAACATTCCATGTGCCAATCAAAATTCTGATACCGTGTCGTCTTGTATAAGTGAGTTCCTTTGTGGCTAGCTCCGATCTTATTATGTTATCGACAGGACCTGGAGATGCAATATTCCATCCGCGTATGCCACCATGAGTTGCCAAGCTATAAACATTACCGTCGCCAACAGCCAATTTAAGCACAGGACTATTATGAGCAACCCACCCTGCTAATATGTTGCCTTCTAAGTCCAGTATTTGGATAATGCCACTGACGTAGCCTACATATATTCGTGTTCCAAAAGTACAGAAGCATTGGACAGCACAAGGGTGGCGACTAAAATCCTGCAAACGGGTTCCACCGCTATCCCATTGCACAAGTAAGCCATTTGTACATCCACTCCAGATCATCCCATCGTTTGTTTGGACTAGAGCTTCTGTTCTCTTGGTATCGTCAACGAATGCTCCAGCTCCCTTGGTTGCAACTCGGCGGACGGCATCTGCAGCTCCCATAATTGCATTACGTGACCTCTGCAGAAAGCTGGTACTCTGGGACTTGTCCTTTTTGGAAGTGGCAACAAACTTGACCTTCATTTCGTCTTCTAGTGCTTGATCCTGCTGCACGGAGGACATGTCAACTCGATTTTCTGCCTGACCATCAATGTTAAATACTTTCAAAAGGTCCTTTGTTCGGGCATCCCTATAAAATGAAGTTATTAAAATTGATATACTATTTGGAGTTGATGCAGCAAAAGTTAAGGAAGTAAAAAAAATGGAAATGATACTAACCAGAGTGAAAAGGATAGAGCGCTAGCACACCATACACGGCCTCTAATATGATCAGATAGTAAAGATTTAACCTCTTGAGAAGATATACTGCAGACACCATTGACAGTGACTTGAGCTCTGAGGTCAACGAAGGATCTCTCGACAAGTAAGGCAGCCATGTGTCTTTCTTCAGGAGAGAGGGAAAGAGATTTTTCAAGGGATTCCCATGGCCATATCTTAATAACGCCCCCTTCAGAACCTGACCAGAGATCGCCTGGAGGAGGAAGCAGTAAGTAAGTAAGTAAGTAAGTGAGTAGTGGAGGAAAGAAATGATATAATAAATTTAGAAAAATAAGTAAGTAAGTGGAGGAAAGAATAAGAATATACGAACCGTAGCAAGTTATGACCATGGCAAGAACGGGACCTCTGTGTGCCTGCCAAGAAAGACCTTCCTTGAAGGGAGTAGAAAACTGTTGATCCATTTTCCATGACCTAATCTTGCCATCCTTATGGCCGCTCCAGACCAACCTATTCCCTCTGTCGACAGTCAAACATAATGTGGGAGAGGTATCGGTAGATTCGTAAAATGGGGCAGCGTCCTCATCACCCCTTCGAACCCTCCCACCAAGACCGCAACCGTGTTCATAGGCATTTTGAAACTCCCAAACTCTAACCCCGCATTCCTGTCCAGCCCACAACTGTGTTTGGGTACAAGCAATGTTTCTGAGGAATTTGCCAACCTGAGTCTCTCTTAAAGGATGGGGCCTTAACTCAAGACACGGGGGTCTACCGGGATGAACGGCGGCTCTAATGGGAGACTTGAAGACTCCAGCACCGCCACCGGTGCCAATGAACTCCTGCAACGGCTGATACTGAGACAAATCATCAGAAATGCCGCCACCTTCCATGTATTCATCGGCAGCATTAGGATTAGAATGTGGGAAAAAGTCGTCATCGGAGTCGGACTCGTAGAAGGAGTCGATGATGTTATTGGAAATGCGGCTATCGTCGAGACTGTGATTGCGGTTGCGGACATGATGTTGGCGTTGGTGTGCGGAAGGACCGCGGAGCTGTTGGCTGTAGGAATGGGCTTTGCGATGAGGTGGAACGGCGGTCAAGCCGGCGAGGGAGTCTTTGTCATCGTCGTCCATGATAGTGCTTTGATGTTTTTGGATTGAAAAAAGAGAATTTGGAGAAGAAGAAGACTCATCCGGGAACTATGGCGTCGCATACTCCAACCTTACGGACAGGAATCTTTTACTAATTATGCAACACACACTCCTCCAATGTTTCCTATTTTCACTTTCGAATATATTAATTAATTTATCTTTTTTTCTTTTCTTTTTATATCTTTGCAAGAAGGACGAAAAGGTATATAATTTTGGGATAGAAGAAAAAATAATAATAATAATAAAAAGGCAGAGGGAAAATCGAGGAAAAGGAAGAAGGAATGAGTGCTCATACTCTCTCTCTAACTAGTCCCCACACTCCTCTCCTCCTCCTCGCTTCTTCTTCTTCTTCTTATCCAAACCCTAATTTCAATGCCTTCTTCTCTTCCAACAACAACAACAACCCTAAACTCAAACCAACCCTCTCATCTACCAGGACCACGGTATCTATCTCTCTTTCTTTTTACTATGCTTTCTCTTTCTTTTCCACTACCATCACTTGTTTTCTTTTTCTCAGTCGCTTTATGGACACGTCAATAGAGATCAAGATTTCCAACTTCAAAATGGTTTAGGCTATTTTGATTCCGATCAAGACCTCGGCACTCTTGTCAGAACTCAGGTTCAAACTCTCGCCGATGGATCAGCCTCCACCAGGCCATCAGAATACGACCCTGCTCCTGATGTTGATTATCTACAGGTATCCATCTATCACTTATCTGATGTTGATTATCTACAGGTATCCATCTATCATCTTTTTTTATTCTTTTCTTACAGGAGTTATTGGCCATTCAACAACAAGGACCTAGAACTATTGCCTTTTTTGGAACACGGAACATGGGATTCATGCACCAGGAACTAATTGAGATTCTTAGCTATGCTATGGTTATAACTGTAAGAAATGCTGCACAACTTCTATCATTTCTCTTGCCAATTCCTATCAATATGTTTCACAACTTTATGTGCTTTGCTTGCAATTTTTTCTTTCTAGAAAAACCACATATACACATCTGGAGCATCTGGGACTAATGCAGCTGTTATCCGGGGTGCTTTAAGAGCAGAGAAACCAGAATTGCTTACAGTTATATTACCCCAAAGTTTAAGCAAACAGTCTCCTGAGAGTCAGGAGCTGTTATCCAAGGTTAAATTCTTCTTTCAACTTTTAAGGTTTCAATTTCAACTCTTCATATACCATCATTTGCTCAGCATCTGTCCTTTCTCTCTTCCTGTTTCTGATATTTTATCCTTAATGAACAAAACATGTGCCATCTTTTTTTTAGTCTACGTATTTTTAAGAATAAGATAGAGGTAGATAATATTAGAAATTTTGATGAAAATAGGATATGATGACGACGAGATCAATTCTTGTTCTATCATTGTTTGATGTGCACATGGTACGTAGCGAACTAGAGAAGATATATTATTCTACTATGTTATATGAGATAAACCAAATAATCATACAATACTTGTTGGTGCGAAAGTCCCCCTTGTTACAAAATCATATTTAATTTGTTAAATTATTTAATTAAATCAATTTTTACATCCTGAATACTAATTTTAAATACAGTATTTATGTTTCTATATATTTCTTATTGATTTTTAGATTATATATAATAATATGTAACCAAAAATAAGATTATATGGATTGATGTATTTACTCATAAGTTTTAAAATTTAATCATGAACGTATTTGTATTTATTTAAATTAGCATAAATATATGCATAATTTTTAATATCAATTTTTTATTTATTTAAAACATATTTATGAAATTATTTAATGCGATATATGAGAAGAAGAAACAAAAACTTCAAAGACCAATGGAATTATTTAATGATGCTATAAATTTGATAGGTACCAGATATGACCTTATATTTAAAGCTCCTGGTGGGAATAGTAATCATCCACATGTATACGACTTCCCCTTTTAGATCCTATCATTTTCTATTATTTATATCATTATCTGGACTGCTGCGCCGAACTGGATGAACATTAAGGCATGCTATATAAATTTAGATTTCATGCTGCTGTCTCCTAGTTTTTATATAATGTGCCGTTCTTGATTGGAGACTAGATTTATCTCTTTTTGCATTGTTTTTTTGCTGCGATTTTCTTTGAAATAAGCTCTTTAGGTCCTTTGGACCTTGGCGCTATGCCTTATGGCTTTTGTGGTTTTGGCACTTGTGAATAGAAGCTATGATTTTGGCACTCCTAGTTTGTATATAATATGGCGTTCTTGACCAGAAATTGAATTTATCTCTTTTTGCATTGTTCTGCTGCGATTTTTCCATTGGAATACGCTCTTGAAGTCCTTTGGGCATTGGCCCTATGATCTTTTATGGTCTGTGTGGAATTACTTCATCTTTGCTCCTCTCTGGTGTTTACAACAGTCATGGCTGGAAACAGACATGTGCAGAACCAACAAAACACAGGCTGCATGTCTGTTTCTGATTATGGGTATTTCTATGTTAGACCTTCAGAGAAATAGTCATGTTTCGTTACATATCAATTTCAGTTGCTTTCTTTTGTTGCCTTGCTGTGATGATGTCTTGTCCTCTTTCTTTTTACTAGCCTTTCTCTACATTTGCACACACACCCTTGTTCCAAATAACCTTGGACTAGTGCAAACTACTCAATTCTATTTTTTGATTGAAATTCTTATGCTCCCGGAATATGGATCTTAGACACTTGTTAAGGGCTGTGCAGTGCACAGGATTCCCAGTATTGTGGTCGAGTTTATAATCATTAATTGTAATTCCTATGATTTCGTTGAATGTGCAGGTGAAAAATGTGATAGAGAAGCCCCATAATGATCACCTACCTTTATTAGCAGCCAGCAGGTTTACATTACTGGCTTTTTCTTGCTGTCTTTCATTTTGGAATGATTATACTTTCACCGGCTTTATACTTACAAAACCAACATAAACTCTCACTCTCTTGCAAGGCAGCAAGGGCGAGAGTTTTATCCTGTTATATCTTTTTCAAATAGTCCACGAGTCTATTGCTGTATAATATTAATATGTGAGGGATTTGTGAGTTCAAAGTTTGTGCATTTAGTATAGAATTCAATTTATTCCTGGAAAAAAGAAAGTAAACTGAAAGAAGGGATCTTCTAATTAGGTAAAAATCAGACGAGTGGCATGTTTTTTAATACTTTATTGGTGGCATTTAACACTTCTTCTGAGAAACAACAAATAATTTCCAGCGTAACAATTTACTTAACTATATTATGTATCTCCTCAATTCATAATTTCTAACTGGGTGAAATACTTTGTCCCCATAAAAAAAACCACACTTTATAGTTCCTACAAAATTATTTTGCAAGTAGTTTTAGTTCTGCTATTAAGTCACATATCTTTTTTGAATTTATTTTGCAAAAACATATATTTTGTATGATTTTTCAGATATGTCTTCAAAAGGTCCTTCCAAAAAAAAGGAGTTCAAAATCTGATTTCTATGTCCAAATTTCTTAATTTTATCTCGATATTTTGATGCTTAAAAAATTCATTTTTAATTCATCTCATGTTAAGAAATTCTAAATTTTTATAAAAAAACTTTTTATAATATTTTAAACATGTCAGAAAAAATAATAACAAAAGTATATGTTGACACATTAAGGACTAAAACAGCATGCTTGATAATATGTAAGGACTAAAAAGTGTGATTTTTTTAAAGGACTGAATTTGGTAATTTAATTAAGACTAAAACCATATTTAACCATTTATAATTTTTAATACATGCATTTTTATTTATTTATTTGAGGAAAAATGGAAATAAAAATTTATTGCTTAATTCAAAACCTAAAACTGCCAAGCATGACTTCTTTTGTATGTTAAATCATCACATATGAAATGGGGGTAGTGTAACAAGGGTATGATACCGATTTAGAGAAGTAATGGTATAGGTTATATCACTGAATGCTACTGTAATACATTCTGTCTGTAAAGAATGCAGGATTTGTTTTGCACTTTTAGTCTAAGCGAGTAATGTAAATTGAATAAATAAGCTTGATATTGGTAGAAACTGCAAGCAGCTTGTAATGAAAATTTGGAGCAAAGTATGTTGTCATAGCAGCTTGTAAGATTAAGACATTAAGTTCTACGGTTTTTTGAATTGCAGGCTATGTAATATGGATATCATTTCACATGTCCAGCAAGTCATATGCTTTGCTTTCCATGACAGTAGATTGCTGATGGAAACTTGTCAAGAAGCAAAAAATATGCGGAAAATTGTGACTCTCTTCTACCTTGACTGAGGCCATTTTTATCCATGTGTATACATTATTTCTCTGCCTAAGTAGGGATTGGGAGGGTAGTGCTTATTTTTAGTTTTGTAATTATAGTATTTCATTATTGCTTTAAAGTTTAGTTAGAAAGGTAAACTTATCACATTATTGGAGAATGGTTGTGGACTTTTCATTTTAAAACTTAGGACGTTGCCTTATATTTACTCAACTCTATTTTGGGTAGTGTTCATTTATGCTACATAAATTGATTGGGCGCACACGTTGGAACTGTCTAAATTTGTTGGTTTTTTTGTTGATACATATGCTTGGATTGGGGGAAAAAGCAACCTAAAACCTAGGATATAAATTTTGTGAAATGATACAGGAATATGAATATCTGCTGGTATTTTGAAAGGATGAGATGCTACACTCGTATCATGTATCCACACTTGCCAAAGTGCCTTTTGCAACAATTTGAATACGTTGTTCAAACTATATTGAGGGGTGTCCTAAAACCATGAGATAATGCACATGCATACATTTTGTTGTCATAGTATGTCTGATGGAAGCAGCACAATTTAGCTGTGAAGCAAATGGTGTTTTTAAATATGTTTATGCATAGCATATAATTGCTCACTATTTATAATTCGCTTGGCCAATTTGCACCAGTTCAACGAATTTGGCTTGAAACCAAGTCACGGCCTCACATAATTAACCTAGTGTCTAACATATTGTCTCAATCATGTTAAATGTCTGATTTTTTGGATTTTTAGATTTGAAGGGAAGACATTGTACCATGCTTGAATTTTTTTTGTGACAACAAGCTCAAAATGCAAACTTAAACTCTAAAATTAAGTATTTCATGTCACAGCACAATTTTGATGCACAATTGCACATGTCACTTTAGGCATATTCTACTTTAGCTGTGAACTTCTTCAAGTGGTTGATTCATGAAAAGACGTGTGAGGCATTATTCCATGTGAGCCAAACACTAAAAGTAGAATCAATAGTCTAATATTCTTAGGGAAATTTTTTAGCCACCATTATATGGATGAAAAACATCTCTAAATATGTCAATATTTTTCGGATATGCATATTTGGACGTATTTTTAAATCTATTTTCAAGAGAGGTTTTAGATATGTATATCAGAAAACTCTTTGCTTACACATTAATAAATATTCTGTGATATTTTTGAATATATATCTTCGAAAAATCTCTGAAATGGATTTAAGGGTTCGTTCGGATATGTATCTCTGAAACCCTGGGTAGAATGCTATTTTTTTAAAAAAATATTAATGTAGTACCTAATAAATGTCAAATATTGAATACGTAATTCATCCAAAAATAACCCGCGACAATCAATTATGGACCAATTGAAGCTTCTTGTCCTAAATCACTCAAAAACTTAATTTTACACTTAAACAACTACATTTCACAAGTGTTACTTCAAGCAACTCAATTTATATGATTCTAAATAATATATTTTATATTTGTAATGTAGAAGAATGGGTTCGGAGAAATTTACTCAAATTCGAAGCTTTGAAATGTTGTTGAAATGGATTAAAAATATGCTTTGATTCTTGGAGATGTAGTTTATTCTTGAAATGAGTTGAACATGTCGCTCAAAGATTGCAACAAAAAGAGAGTTGGAATAGAGAGTTGAGATATAGATGAGAATGGGAAAGACATATTTTGTTTCTTTATTTTGTGTATATTAACACAATTTAGACATGCATATCCAAAAATCTCTCTCTATTTCAATTAAAGCGGGGTAGCTTAGTTGGCAATTGGTAATTGAGTTAAGGGGTTGTTGGTTGAACCCTAGCAGCAGCATTTATTTGTATTCTTTTAATTAAAATATCAAGGCCCCTAAAAAGACATAAGGGTGGGTAAAGAAATCCCTTATTTTTAAAATATCATAAAATGAACTTACATAAATCTTGTTCTATTTTTTATTCCCGATGGCACCAAAATACAAAGCATAAAAGGAAGTTCACCGCAGAAAAATAGTTCACAGTAAGGTATGATCTAGCTCCTTAATATTAGAGATGTCAATTTATGAGGTTGTGACCTCGTTTTCAAGGCCCTCAATTAAGGGTTTTAAAATTTAGGGAAATGGTCTTTTCATCTTTATGTGCATATAATTCTCTTAAAATTTTAAAATTATTCGTATGCGTCTAGAAATGCATTTTCAAACGCACTCAAAATTGCGACAATGATCTATTTTATGAGTTTCATCTCTGTTTAAAAAAAAATAATACCCGGAGATGCATCTTTGTATATTGCTTGGGTGGATTCGAAGATGCATCTCTGAAATACCTCATGCACTCATTTATGTGATTTTGTTATTAAAATAATTGATTGAAATAAAAAGTCAGTGATATTTCTAGAGATGTGTCTCTAAAAATGTCCAACGGAAAAGTTGATAAAACACCACCTTGCTTGATCTTCTTCATGCTAAAATAAGAAACCATTCTGAAACCCTTGAAAAAATTTCTCTCATATCAATCAACTCTTCAACATCAAAACACCATTCTTGTATTTCATCACTTCAAAGGGAGCAAGCAAAACAAGCTGGAATTGCATGTAAATATCATTCATTTTATCTCTCATTCCTTGCATCAATCATAGTTTTGAGCTGAAAAATGAACGTTGAGTTCGGAGTTTTGGTGTGGTCTGGATATGTATCTCCCACGAGGTTTGGTGTGGTCTGAATATTCATCTCCGAATTGTCTTTATAGTTTAATTTTTCACACTATTTTTCTGTTATTGGTGGTAATAGACATGATGCACCCATATATGTTTTCCAAAGCTATTGTGAATGTGGATGTTAAACCGATCAAAGTAAAGCATGATGTTAAACACGGTGAAGTGAATAACGATGTTAAATCAGATGAAGCGAATGATGACATTAAATCAGGTGCTCGATTGATTGTTCTCGAGGTAGACTTTCGTGCATAATTTACAAATAAAGAAGTGTTTATTGTTTGTGAACATATGTTACAATGGGTCTGTAGAGAGATCGAAAAATTGGGATTTGGAATTGTAATCGCAAGGTCCGACAATGGTTCGGATCAAAGACAAACATTTGTAACAAAAATATGCGAAAGAAGTGGCACGTACTAACCAAGGATTAGGAAATTGAAACGAGATGACACGGGATCGAGGAAATGTGAGTGTCCTTTTAAAATACGCAAATAACATATGGAGAATGAGACATATAAGTTTAATGTGATTTTCGATATATATATATATATATATAATCATACCTTGACTAAAAAACTACTTAATCATCCCATCGTATGTCGTCTTGTTCCGAAGGGGAGAGAACTTGTTTTGGACATGACATTAAACATGGAGGCACCGAAAAATATATTCACATCTTTGAAATAGAAAATACCTCTAAATGTTTCAAGTATCAAGCAAATATACAACGTGCATGCTCGAGACAAAAAGACGGTAAAATAACCAAGATCTAAGATGCAACAATTGTTAAAGCTTTTGAAACATGAAGACTATGTTTTAAGGTATAAATTATGTTAGGATAAAGTCATTGTTCAAGATATATTTTAGATTCATCCCGATTCTGTGAAGATGTTCACCACATTGAAAGCTATATTTTCATTCAGAAACCAATCATTAATGATGCATGGATGTATGAGTTCCAAGTCCATAAATTCTTACCTATTGGAGCAAAGTCCAATGCCTATTTCAGTGACTCCATATGAGAACTAATGATCTCTTTATTACCCTTGACGCTCCAGTAACATGTTGCAATCGATAGAATATGCTGAAACTTCTTCAAGTGTTCCAACCAACTCAAGTTGCAAGTGTGAATTAGTGGGACTTGTGTGGAGTGATTGGACGACTAAAGATGCAAGCTAATGCATGTAGTAGTCTCTATGATATATATGGATGGTGTTTTGAGATTGCACATAACTTACAGGTTTGTAAATTTCGAATAAATGGATTTTGAGCTTTAATGGAGTTCTTAAAAATCTCACTATGTGTTTCTCTGAATTCTTAGGAGATTTGAGATGTGTTTTGGACTGAGGGAAGGCTCTCTATTTATAGGGAAAGGTTGAGAGATCAAGGGTTGATGAGAAACAAAGTTTTGTAAGTTATGGTTTAGTTGGATCATAAATGGAAGTTACATGAGTGGTATGATTCCAAGATGAAAGATTGATTGGTTCATGGATAATAGGGATGTTTTTCTGATTGTAGGACGTTGCTTATAAGTGTAGTATGACCATAGATAATAAGGTATGAGCTCAATGCAAGATTTGGTGATTAGAATCATCTTTATGCAAATAGATATGGAGCTTTTTGCAAAAAATTTCAAATATGGTATCATGAAATGGTCAATAGCTCAATTCCTTGTGCGATAAATTAATGATCTATGTAATTGCTCAATTATGTTAAGATTTGTAAGTAATATGGCCTGAAGAGAAGATTGTGTAGCTTAGGCTTTGGAAAATCATGAAGCTTACCTTGGACAAAATGACTTGTAATGCAATTTTGGAAAGCCACGTTCATCTCTTCGAAACTCATAGCTCAAGTATGATAAAACCTTGCTCTTGGATTTTTTGGAAATTTGAGAGCATCCTCTACAAATTTCATGTTGATCATTTGTTTTGAATCAATTAGGATCATGGAGAAAAATACCTTGCAAAAATGGAGTTTCAAGCTGAAAACACTTAGATAATTCTTCTAAGTCTTTGAACATTATAACAACTTTGAGATGTCAATTTGATCACCTTATATCTTCAAATTATCATTATCTTTTGAGCCAATTACTTCTACAATGTTGATGTATGTAGGATCATATTCAAGTACATCCTTTGTGAATGAAAAATGATTGCTTGAGGAAGAAGTTACAAGCTTGGAAAGTCATGTACTTGAACACAATTTTGATGCTTAGTGAAATTTTCAACCTTATCCTTTTTGCAAGTTACCTCCAATTGTGTTTTCACTTGATAAAATTAAATATTAATCATATTTTTATGAAATTTAATCAAAGTTTGACTTTGAGCAGTTGACTTTTTCAGATGAATTTAAATCTTCCAATTTCAATGGAACCTTGTGATCATAATGCAACTTCAACACATTGATACACCTTGGAAATTATGAGATGATGATATTGAAGACCTCTTGAGTGATGTGTAAAGAAGATCAACCTCTAAAACCCCAATTCTTGACTTTTCAACAAAGGGGTGCTAAAACCCTAATTTTCTCCAATCATTAGATGAATCCGTAATGAAATCCTATTGAGGGGGGTTGTGATAAATATGATGATCATCATGAGTGAATGAGAAGTTTGAATTACTGAGGAATATACATGTCCTTGATGAATCAATTATTGGATCCTCTTGACCCAACACACCTATCTGATACAAGAAACAAACAAACAAGACAAAACCCTTGTATTTTTATGAGATTAGTGATGCATAGATGAATGGTATGATCTTTGATATTATTCAAATGATGCAAAGAAAGGTGGGATTTTAGGTTAAAAAAATTAGAGTACAACAGTATGGTTGGGTCTTTTCTTTTCGTTATCATTTTGTTTCCTTAAATGAAGCATTTATCATTGTCGTTTTAATGTCATTTATTACATTTTATATTTTTATCATTGATCTGAGTTTATGTTTATTGAAGTTTTGTATGTATTTCGTCTTCATACAAACAATTGCATTCAATTCACACACATTTCTTTTTGTACAATTAATTTGCATAAATTGCTTTAGGGATTTTTTTAGTTAATCTCACAAGAACAATAAAGTTTGGAATGGAAAATAGGGAAAATTTGTTGAGAATCACAACTCACTCAATAAATCTAAGATTGTTTGAAGATTACTTCGGCGCGAAGAAATCTAAAGACTAATTAGTTAGACGAATCAAAACTCACTTAACATATGAAGAGATTATGAAATATATAGATATGGGTTTTGGCCATTGTAACTAATATATAGTTTTTAGTTAGTTTTTATATTTTAGTTAAATTTACTGTGAGAGAAACATAAAGTATTTGTAACGTGAAAAGTATGTTTGTCAAAGTGGAGCAACTGAAGACTGAACGATCGTTTGACCATGGTTTAGATTATATGCATTCTATCTTGCTACCATTTTTAGGAGTAGTTAAGCTATCCTTTTGTCAAGGGTTAGTTTGTACATTATTATGCATTCTATGTATTTGATGATATGGTGAGATTATGCTTATTTTAGTCAACCAAACATGTTTGATATTTACTCTTTTATCCGATGCATGTTATCTGTATATCATGTATTTAAATCTATCTGGTGTTCATAAATGCTTGTATGCGTAAAATGACTTGATCGTTTATAACAAAATTTGTGGATTTATCTGATGTTGAGAGATATTTTTAGGTTTATACTTAAGTAGTCATATATCATACAATATAGTTTAAAGATAAATTTAGATATGTTATTCATGTATATTTGTTGACATTACGATGTTATTTCATAAATGAATAATATTGGACAAATTTTGATGATATAAATTGATGATTAATACTTAATATGTTTGTAAGCATAGTAATTTTAACCCAACCACACCACTCTTTATCACAAAGATATTCTTTTATTTTACGACACTTCTATTTACAATGACAACAAGGTGAACAAACATGTGTTATGGATTTGAAAGTGTCATATTTTGCTACCAAGTGTATGTTTAGTTATGCGGTGATGAAAAATAATTTTATAGAATTGATTTTATTTAAAGTGAATTGTATATAAAATAATTTATGTTTAATTATATTTATATAAAAGTGAGTAAAACAATAATTTTTAACATAAAAACGTTCAGATTTAAACTATCAATTTTAATTTCAAATAAAATTAATTTTAAATACATAATTTATCATGCTTTAGAGAAACCAAACACACTCTTAAAATTATTCTAAAATTGTGGCAAGAGAATAAAAAAAGAAAAGAATAAAATTAGATGATTATTATTATTTATTTTTTGTTCTAAATTGAAAGAAAAAAAATCCAAGGACACATAAGCAACCTAATTTGGCACATGAAAATGCAAATGAATAATCGATAAATTTGTGTTTGAATGAAGAGAAGGAATTAGGGTATTGAAAAGAAGAAAAAAAGAGAAGAAAAAAATTGTGAAGATGGGGAAGGAGAGTAAAGAAGCGTGCAAGAAAGAGGCTTGTGCCATTCAAGCTTGCCTCTCCAAGAACAACTTTCTCCCCCAAAAGTATGTCACTTTCTGTAATCTGTCTCCTCTTATTTATTCGTTGGAAAATTAGGGAGGATCACCAAAATTTCATTGCTGTTAGACTGTTGTAAGTCAGTTATTTAGAAGTAATGTTGCCTATAAATATTGAATGCTAACATGAGAGTCCTATATTACAAAAATTTAATTTTGATTTCATGACGTTTGCATTAAATAGTTATCAATCACAACTGATACCTCTTTATATGTTTTAACACTAGCAGGTGTGTTAAAGTAATTGAATTGCTAACAACTCATACCTCTTTATATGTTTTAACACTAGCAGGTGCATTAAAGTAATTGAATTGCTGGACTCATGCTGCACAAGATGTGATTATAACTCAACTCACTGTGCTTCCCTCTCCGGATTATTGAACCAAAATTCTAAGTAACTCATTACTTATACTTTCTCCGGATTATTGAACCAAAATTCTAAGTAACTCATTACTTATACTTTCATTTTTCACTATTTCAGATTCATATACCTTACCTGCTTGCATATTCTTATTTTCTCTGCAGATTACCAGATACGGCCAACAAATTGGACAAGTAGTTCAGCACTATTCGTTAGATTATGGGAATGTCCAAGAGAATTTAGAATGAAATTTACGTATTACTAATTAATAAATTTCACCACAAGTTATATGACAATATTTTGTGAATTCTATGTAAAAATGTTCTATCCCACCCTTTATTGTTTACAACCATTATGATGGAATTTTGTTATTAGCTTTTTTTACTCATAGCAAAGTTATGTCTTGTCGGTAAGTTGACTCCCAATTCCAAATTCATTTCATTCCCACATTTTGAGTAAGCATAAAACTTCAATACTAGTTCTACAAATATACAAAGTTAATATGTAACATGATTATGAATTAAAGTAGGAGAGTTATATCAGAGAAAAACAAAACAAAAATCTTAGAACCATAGGGAATAAAAATACAACATCCATATAAATATCTGTCTTGTAATACTCATGTTATTAGCTCATGGACATACATATTACTTATTCATAACAATTTTCAATTTCATTCCTATGTTCCATATGAAACACCGAAAACAAAAATCTATATAATTAAACAAAAGGTTTTCGCAAACAAAACTGATCCTAGCTTAGTTGGTTACAAAATAGGCATGTCCAATGCTTGTAAGACATCTTTGAACTCAAAATCATGCGTGTCTTTGTTGAACCTTTCAACTAGTTTGTATCTGACATCATTCAAATAAAAAGACTGAGCAGTTTCCATAAGCCATTTTGCCTCTGAGTCAGTCAACTTGCTGGTAAATACAATATCCCCACGGATAAGTACCAAGTCTTTGCTCTCTGCAAATTCTGTGTAGAAGCACACGGAGAAGTAGGGTGATGCTTGTGTTCCTCTAGCCTTGTAATCTTCAAGACCTGTAAAAATTATGTATGGCGTTTGTACTGCAAGAAATCATGATTATGCAAGTGAGTGAAACAAGAATCCAAGTATCAATAAGAAAAACACATAGAAATAATCATAATAAGTGTGTGCCCCTCAACCACAACCACAGCAAGATGGAGGGCCAAATATTCTCCAACCACAAGCACGGGAAGATGGAGGGCAGTGAGGCTAACAAAATAGTCTCCAACCACGAGCACGGCAAGATGGAGGGCCCCTAAAGAGAACTGGACAAAGATTAATGTTGATGTTGGGTGCTTTAGTGACAGCTTCATTGGTCAGGGTCTGATTATGATCATTTAGGTGTTGTAAGTTTAGAAGCTACATGAGAATTGTTGCAGGCGTGAGATGTGGACTTAGTGTTAAACAAGATGATGAATTAGTTTATTTATGAAAGTAGGTTGGTTCTAGTAATTGGGTGGGGAATGTCACATACGAAGAACAGTGAGAATGAACACCCAAATGAAGCAACATGACATATACAAATGAATGAGAAACCCAATAACAAAATCAAGGGTGGTGGCAACTAGAGAAAAACCCCATACAAGCAAAACATTAAGCACTAGATTGGCAACATCAGGAGTTAAACACCTTGAACACAAGACCCAAACCAGCACTCCTCTGCTTAAGAATAGAGAGCAATAAGAAATTAGAGTGATAAGAATGATTGACCTTGAAGGAAGATAGTTGTATAACCGTTTCCCCTCCACAAAGGAATGACAAAATGGCGGCTGGCAAGAAGAAATAGAAAAGGTAAGAAGAGGAAATGTAGAAAGGTTAGTGAAATGAATAGTGAAATGAATTACCATTCCTTAGCTCTATGGTGTAGCAAGTGATAAAGCTTAGCTTTCATAGTGGCTCCAATATGACCTCTGCCAATGTGGTACTGAAACAAAACAAGCGAAATCTGGATGAGGTAGTAGAGCAGGTTTTGACACGAAAATAAGAATAAGTGAGAGAGAGAGATATATGTTACATCATCCCAAATAGAAGCGATATCATCAGGATAACGATCCTTGAGTCTGTGAATATCCACAATTGAATCTAACGGCTTCTCTCTCAAAGGGTTGAACCCAGTGGCAAACCTTGACATCATGCGGAATCCAACCGACCACCATTTCTTTAAATCATAAGGAAACTCTGATTCACTCAATTTCAGACTACAAAATGGCTGCTTCGCATACGACCCCACGCTCCTCCAAAATATCCTTTGCATTATTCAATCTGATAAACATTATTATTAATTCAAAACTAAAACACAGGATAAATCGTAACAAAAACAGAGGAAAACAATACCACTAACCTCACCTCACAAACCACGCCGTCCTTGGGAGTAAGAAGATGAACACCAACAAACGCGAACGGAAACAAGAATTTTGGGGATTCAGTCTAAAATACCCTTAAAACATTATTAGTATAATAAACTAATATATTACCAAAATTACTTTCATATTCTTTGACAAAATTAATGACAAGCTTAATTTCAATTTGCAAGCATAATAATGATTAATAAAAAAATAATTAAAAAATAATGATTAGTAGTAGCATAATTTGACACGTAATAAATTCACACTGCTGAGCATCAATTTCTTTTTCATAGCATATATGTTTCTTATATTATTATAGATCGTAAAAGATTAAAAACAAACCATTAAACAAATTGATTTGTGTTATTAGAGAGTTTTTATGAACACTTTTAATTCGAGACACAAGAATAGAAGTATATGAGAAGAATTTATCAGTGAAGAATTATCAACTTATTTTCTAAGTTTTGTCTTGTTTAAGCTATGAATCCAAGTGTGATTATGTTGATTGATTGTTGTTTTTCTTGTGAAAACTGAAATTAAACTCGTAAAAACTTTGTAACAGAAACAAAGAGATGATTATTGAAACATAACTGTAATAAGCGGTTTATCAGAGATAAAGAGTTTGGATCTGAGTTTTGAGGTTATGCAAATGAAATCGTAACTGTGAAAACAAGATAAGGAATCGTGAGAATGAAAACAAGTTGTTGTTTGTTTTCATGAGATTTGGAAAGAACACAAAGTGAGAGATCGAGTTTGAGAACAAGGAGAGAAAGATGAAAAGAGAAAGAATCGACGGTGAACAGAGAAGTGAAAAAATATGGAAGCGTGGCAAGCAGAGGTAGGTGTGATACGGTGGTAGAACCGACTGTTTTGAAATGTTAGTTTGCGTTTTGCGTTTGCAAAATGTCGCGGTAAGTAAGAGTCGCCACCAACTTTTATTTCATCCAACCAGAAAGGAAAAAAGTACAGAAAAAATCCTTTTTCGAGATATTCTGAATACGGGGGGTAGATTATAGAAAGGGAAGGTGTTAGCACCCTTTCTATCCATGGTTTTCCATGGGCTCTTAGGTACTTTCTCATCTTTTTAAAATTGCTTGTGTATGTGCGTTGTTTTGAAAAGTTTGACTTCGTGATAACCCTTGTATCAGTCCTCAAAGGTGTGACGAAGTTTATTTTGAAAGTTTGTTTGAAAAAAGTGTAAGTGTGAAAAGTTTTGTTTTGAGCAAGTACCTACTAGCATCTACCTACTCAAAAAAAGATCGTTTCTATTCTTGTTTCTTTTAGACAGCGCTATCATACTATTGAGAAATAAGTAGCATCGTCGTTGGAGTTGTAAGGGTCAATTCGAAAGGGACGTACGATCACTAAAGCAATATTAGGACACCTTAGTAATAACCCTAGAGTCTTAAGATCATATTCGAGGCAACATTTCCGAGGCAACATTTTGGAGGGGACATTTGATCTTTGTTAGACAGGAGGGTAACCACTAAAACACCCTATGCTCAGTGATCATTTACCGAAGGCAACCGAAGTGTGAGTATACCCTAAGAGTGATATGTGCGAATGATTTGTTTCAGTTATTTGTCTTTGCACATTAGGATTTTCTAACTGTATTAAATTATCATGCAATCTTGTCATACAATCCTATTAACATACATCTAGACAGTTAAATATTTGCAAAAATTAAGATGCGAGAAAGTAAATTTACGCTATTATAAGGCTTCGGGGAGGGGAATTAATTACATAGCCAAAAACCCCGGGGAAAAGCGATAAATAAAAACCCTAGATTAAACTATTATAAACCATGCACAGTTACAACAATATTGACAAAATAAATAATATGTGCGCGTTGAATCGAATACGAGATAATTAGGGTTTTGACCCTTGCCTAAACCTAATTGTGATTATGTCCATACTCTCAGGATGTGGGGAGTTGTCACTGTCAGTAGTATTGTGTTGCCATACTACCAGAAGATGTTTGATCGTACCAGATTTGTCGCTGGAATTCATACCCAATGTCCCAAGTGACTCAGGCGGAGATTTGCCCCTGCTATTTGGCATTTGAGAGATTCCTTGAATCTTGACTTGACTGCCCCAGATGATGGACAATGCTCATGCCATGCCCCTTGATTAGAGGTGCTTTTGTTCATTAGACATTCGTCGTGCGAACTTCTTTGCTGTTCGAACAAGAAGTCATATGCAAACAAAGTTATGTAAAAAATGCAAAGCTTATGTCTGTCTTGAAGTTTTTGAAAATGTGTTTTTTCAATAAAACAAACAAGTTTTTTTTTTGTAAACTGTGATGTCAACTCGTTATTTTACCACAAGCCTTAAGGAGTCAGGATACCTTTCGTAACAGTATGCTTTCGAACTAACCCATGCTTCAGCTAGGACTTTTTAGGGTTATAACGTGGCCTGGTTCACAGTTTAAGAAACAAAGGATAAAGGCTCAAATTTTATTTGTACCCACCCGTTCTTCGTGATATTCTTCAAACCTAAACTCAGTTGATCGTGCTTTACACCTTGTTTGAGTCTTTGCTTTGATATACCAGTGATGGTTCGGATACTGACAGTTTATTTTGAATTAGGCAGTCATTTCTTTTTTGTTGAGGGTTTGTAGGACCTCTTTCTTTTTTGATTTCATTATCCCTATTCTTTTTTTTGCCTGAACTGTTTCTTTTGTGATCACAGTCAGCGGGATGCCCCAGTTTGTAAGTCTCCTTCATAGGTTTTGACTTAATGGGTTTTTATTTCTAAAAGATAACGACTGCCTGTCTTGACAATTATAGGGAACCATCACCGTATTTTGTTTTGGAAGGACTCTTTTTGATGCCATTCGTTGTGCACCTGGATCAACTGAGAAGACTACCCTGCCCCAGGTTATGATTAAGGGTTTTAATTTTCGAAAAGAAAAACTCCAACTTCCTTGGCTCAAAGGGGTTGACGGGGGATTATCTTCCTTATAACTCCAGTGTTTAGGAATTGAAACAATGCCTGTACCTCATTAGCGGGGTCTGTTCAAAAGCATACTGTAAGGATCATGGTATCGTTTTCGTCATCCTCCCTCAAGAGGCTTAGAATTTTAAAATCGAGAGTTGAACATCAAAAATAAAAGCAATTTTGAATATAATGAACACAATTACTTCAAAACAGACACGTAGAATGCATTAATGAAATAACCAAGTTTGACATGAAATAAAATGTTTGAACAATCAAAAGAAAAATTACAACTTGAACATTCGAATGAACAAAAGTTTCCAATCCTAGCCATATTTCGGCAAGGGAGCAGTGATCACATTGGGAGTCTCAGCAGGCTCGAATTCGATCTCTTTAGCATCGATCATATTCTGGATCTTGTACTTCAGCGCCCAACAGTCCTCAGTATCATGCCCCGGGCTATCAGAATGATAAGCACACCTCGCTTCTGGGTTGTAGTTTGGAGAGGAGGTCTTGGGATTTGCAGGAGGGTTGATCACCGCAATCAGATTCATTTTCAACATGTGTTGCAGTGCTTGTGACAACGGCATGTTGATGTTGGTGAATTGTCTTTTAGGCTCGTCCGGCCTTCGCTGATTTCCCTTTTGTGGTTGGCAGCGTGGTGCAGAACCAGAGATCATGACTGCCCCTGCATGTTGGTCACGACGACTCTTTTGACTGTATGCAACATTAGACTCCTTCTTCCCCATGTAAGGCTTTTTGTGAGTGTCAGAAGACGTGGCCTCTTGAATCTTCCCCGCCTTGATACCAACTTCAATTCTTTCCCCAGTCAAGATCAGATCTGTAAACCCAGCTGAGGAGTTGTCAATCAGATGGTTGAAGAAAGGTCCAGACAGGGTCCCCAAGAACATGTCCACAAGCTCACGGTCAGTTAGAGGTGGTTGCACCCTTCCAGCAAGGTCTCTCCACTTTTGCGCATATTCTTTGAAGCCTTCGCCTGCACCCATAGACATTCCCTGAAGCTGAGTGCGCGTGGGGGCAAGGTCGGCATTGTACTGGTACTGCTTCTAGAATGCAGTGGCCAAGTCCTCCCAGCTGCGGATGTTAGCTCCATTCAGTTGATAGAACCAGTCGAGTTGGGTTCCTGACAGACTGTCCTGAAAGAAGTGAATCCACAAATTCTTGTCAGCCGTGTAGGGCTGGATCCTCCTTATGTAAGACCTGAGATGCAGCTTAGGACAGGATGCCCCGTCGTACTTTGCAAAGGCAGGTGCCTTGAATTTGTGTGGGATTACTACCCCAGAAGACAGACCTAGATCTTCGAAGTCCAGGCCGGGCACCTTTTGTATCTCCATAGCACTTAGTCGGTCTTCCAACTGTTTATACCTGTCCTCCGCAGGAGGGTACTGTTCGTCATTGAAATCTGTCTCGTTGTCGGAGACCACTGGACTAGGAACCTCTCTTTCATGGGGGTTGTTCTTTCCAACATATGGGGTAGTCTGCTCAACTTCATTTAGTGATCCATTCCCAAATTTGCATCTCGGGTTGAACAACACCGTTCTCTTCTTCTTCTTCTTCGAGAGCAGAATCTTCAAATCCTGTTGGCCTTGGGCTAGACTCTTAATCAACTCCTGGAACTGGGCGTTCTGAGCCTGGAGGGCTTTGATGGATTGCTCAGTAGATGATTCAAGATTCATGATGAGACTGCTAAAATAAACAGTGAAGAAGGTAAGTGACATGTAGAAGGGGTACCTGTAATGCGATGATATGTATGATATGCATGCAATGTTTTCAAGGACCTCGCGGGGTAAATAAGAGAATTGTTAGAATTGAATTTGGGTAGCTTGATTGAAGGCACTGCATATTGTTGAGAGTCCTTCTTCAAGAGTCAAGGCTCACCATATAGAGTGGGTCATAGCCCCTGACTCAGGTTATCATGCTTGGATTTCTGGACAACCTCGGCTGGAGGAAA